TATTATTATTATTATTATTATTATTATTATTATTATTATAGTTGTTGTTGTTTTAAATAATACATATAATTATAAATAAAATGTTATTGTTATTATACAGATTAAGTAAATATATTACTAAAATACAAACAAAAAGAAACAATAAATTGAACAAATACATTTAAAAAATAATAATATTATTATTATTATTATAAATAATATAAATAATTATAAATAAAATGTTATTGTTATTATACAAATAACGTAATTATATTTATATTACAAAAATACAAACGAAAAAGAAACAATCAATTGAGCAAATAAATTATTATTATTATTATTATTATTAATCAATCATAATAAAAAATAATAATAGTAGTAGTAGTAAAAATAATAATTGTTGTTGTGGTGGTTTCTTTGTATAATAATATAAATAACATGTTTTGTTTTAAAAGAAATATAAATCAATATATTTATTTATATTAGTAGTAGTGCTGCCAAACGATTAATCGCATCCAAAATAAAAGTTTTTGTTTACATAATATGTGTGTATACTGTTATTATGTCTATATAAATATACACACATACAGTATATATTTTGAAAATATTTCCATGTATTTATATTCATATAATTGATATTATATACAAATATTTTAAATGTATAAACATAACATATTTTTCTTAAATATATACATGCATGTGTGTGTATTTATATATACATACTAAATATACACAGTACATACACATATATTATGTAAACTAAAACGTTTATTTTGGATGCGATTAATCACAATTAATCGTTTGACAGCACTAATTAGTAGTAGTAGTAGTAGTAGTAGTAGTAGTAATAATAATAATAGTAATAATAATAGGCCTATACAAATCAAGTATTTTTAATTTATAATCCAAACAATTAAAACTACTACTACTATTATTATTATTATTTCAAATAGGTGATATAAACAAATACTTCATAATTCACTATTTAGTGCTGAAGTATGCATAGTCAGTCCAAACTTTTTTTCGTAATTATAAAAATATATGTTCTTGGAAAGCTCACCAACCAAGCTACACAAGGCAGCTCTTCTAGAAGCTCAATACATTAGTGACGTTCGGTCTATTCCTATAACACAAAGTTGCTGGAAAATATACTTTTGCAAAGCAATGATACAGATGTTATTAAATTGTCAACAATAGCCTCACAATTTTTTTTTTTTTTAACATACCTCGAGTTTGTACAGAACTGGGGAAAACTGCATTTTCATATTATGCACCCTGGGCATGGAATAATTTACAAAAAGATCTAAAACTAGATAAATTTGTGTCTATTGGTGAATTTAAAGGCATCATAAAGAGAGTGGTATTGGAAGCTTGTGATTGTTTTTGTTGAGAGGATGTTTAAATATTGTTGTAATGTGTACTTGTATTTTAAAATTGTCTTACTGTATGGCTGCTACCTTGGCCAGGTCGCTCTTGAAAAAGAGATTTTAAATCTCAATGAGACTTCCTGGTTAAATAAAGGTTGAAAAAAAAAAAACAATCCAAAAGAAAAAGCTTTAATTCCTTCTCACATGACTTGCATCAGAGCTTCAACACAGGTAAATGCTAAATTCAGTTACCACATGACCTGCAAATAAAGTGTGTTCCAAAACCAACCAGTAAGAGTGATCTTATTCATTTTTGATATTCACAGAATAACATATTAAACCAGATATGTCACGTGAATTCACACCCTCATGCTATGTTTATATGCTAATCTTTTATATGCTCAACCGGCCTCACTCCAATGAGTGACCTCCATTATATAAAACATGTAATATCTTCAATTCATCTGTTTCCCACAGAGATCTGCCTGTTGACGAAAGGTCGTCGTACAGCTAGCGTCCGCGCTGACACCTACTGCCGACTTTTCTCACTGTCCGTGGACCATTTCAACGAAGTCTTGGAGGAATATCCCATGATGCGCCGCGCTTTCGAAACCGTGGCTATCGACCGTTTGGACCGCATCGGTAAGACCAGAAACCCAACCCTCGCCTCCTCTTCTAGTCTAATGCCTGAACCTCGTGTGTGTTTGTTGCGCGTTTGTGTCCTGTCCTTCATCGCACCTCAATCATCTACCATTGTGTTGCATGACGTGTCTATTATATGCTACCTTATTTTCTCTCTTTTTTTCTTTCTCCAAATGTTTCGTATGGATTATAGCCATTATAAATCATTAGAACTAACTGTAAATGCTAGCGTTAAGTAACTGGTCTGTCGGTAAGTGACAGTGCATGTAGCCGTCCTGCCCGGGGCTGGTCGCCCTGCTGGTTTTGGTTCAATGTCATCCCCAAATGGACGCATGGAGGGTGGACGGAGGCAAACCCTCACCAGCATGAGCCTCCGTTCTACTCCCCCAAATCGCACACCTGGGTATGAGCACCACCCCGTCCTCCCTTGACCCCTAGCCGCAGCAGTGCACCCCCTAGAGGGGGTTTGAGCTGGTGCACTAAAGGGCAAGGGCTGAAATAATTACCTATCAATTAGAAACAGTTCTTCACATGTTAGTATAGTCCCTGCTCGTTTAAAGTGCTTAATTTATTATATGTATTTACTTTTTTGTCTTAAAACAAATAAATACATTTTAAAACATTATAACAGGCTTTTCAATTCAGTTTAATTCAATGCTAACACTTGTGTATAATTTTATAAGGATCCATTTTTAACATTAGTTAGTAGATTGGGAACCATGATCTAACATTGAACAATACAGCATTTATTAATCTTTGTTAAATGTTTATTTAGAAACAATTTTCGCTCTTTGTACGGTTTGTAAATTTCACAATTATTTTACAAAGAAACATTGAACTAAACATGACATTTTGAAGTAGAAAGACTGAAAATGTATTTTAAAAACATACTCCAATAACCAATATTTTATTTATTTCACGTCAAAAAATAGTTTTTACCGTGTATGAATTTATATAAATCTAATTTGAACCCTACATGTTAGCAATGGCATGTTTATGAGTTAACATTAATAAATGTTTGAAAAAAAAGTTCATGATACCCAATGTATTAACTAATGTTAATGAATTGAGCCTTATTGTAAAGTGTTAACCACTTTATTTGAACAACTCTGTTCACAAAACATATTGTTCCAAAGCAGCATTTAAAGTTTATTTTCCAAATGTGTTATTTTTTGGAGTTTATTTGTGTAGAATTTGCATGAGTCGCCTCAACATTCATTAAATGACAGCATTCATTTAATTAATTCATTAAATTCATTAAATTAACATCTGAAATATCACATTTAAATTTAAGAAACACCTTAAACACCCTCCTCATTTTTCACTACAACACATTTGCTCCTTTACTGAATGTTCTTTTCCATAAAAGCATGTCCTAAAATTAGCATTATTTTTGTACTATGCTTTAAAAAAAAGTCTTATTTTAAAACCAGTCGGCTTGATGTACTTTTTAACATTTCCCCACTAAACACAAATCCATTATCACTCACACCACTCTTCATAGAAATACTGAAAAGAAGGATTTCTCTTTCAACCAGTTTCAAAGGAACAATGGAAAATAAAAAAGGGATTTTATTCAAGCTGTCTTAAGACACATCAGGTTCTGTAATGCTGCACATTTTAGTCTTTGTCTCATTGTTGAGATACAGGCCACCGTCCATCATGGATTTGAATTGTGTGGAATTCAAATGTGAGCTAATGCATTCTGAACATTCGTAGAACATCGGTTTGATGTTCTGCACCATTCAATGGGTTCGGTCTATGACCTTGTCACCACTTTTTTGTGCTATTCAATTGAATTCTCTGTCATTACGGTTTACAGTAGGGTCTAGAGCATGAGCCTTGTTACTCTTCACCCAACATTTCCATTAATCTTTTATTCAATAGGAATATTTAACTAGTTTGTGACAGACCAGATTTGAAGTGAAGCACAAGTGGTCACATCCAAGCATAGCTTCACAATATGTATTTCTTTTAAAAAGGGGTTGATATGATTATATGATACAAAGTATAAACTGTGTCTTGTTTCTTTGTGCACCTTTTGATTTCACAGTTTATAAGATAAAACCAGAAGATAATTTAAGATGTGACCTGAAAACACAAAGTAAATGTTTCTCCTTTAAGCATATGAATCGGTTATGACGTATACTAATATAGCATGAAGCCCTGCATAATTTCACAACGTGATTGCATGAAACATGCTAGAAATATAAAACAATATCCTATTTTAAGTTCATTATACAGTCATTGGGATCGAATAAAAAATTAGCACCTGCTTGCCTGCATCCAAAAAAAAAGTTAGATATAGGTTCTAATGTTATTTTTTAACCTTTTTCCTTGGTTCTTTTTATTTGTGTGTTTATTTGCTAAATTCTGGCATATCGCTATTGACTTGCCTTGCACTAAAAGTTGGATTGGATTGGTTTGGATCAATATGCCCACACTATTGTGACATGCACGTCACAACTAATCAATAACAGATAAGAATTGACGTGATCAGGCCAAATCAAATCAAATTAAATTTGATTAAATGAAACCCTAAGACGACAGTATGCATTACGCTGTCTGAATTCAAAACTAGTATTCTATCTGCACCCATCTCTGTTTGTGGCATTGACGTTAACACCCTTTAAACGCCAGTCACAATGCGAGACGACCGGTGTAAACAAAGCCAAGACGTGCATTTGTCCTTTCATGTGGAGAACGGGCTTGTACTAGATTGCCACTGCAAGTTGCCAGCACTTACAAAACAAAACTTTTGATTTGACATTAGTCCAACTAAAACAAGGGGTCTTGTCTCATACAAGGGAAAAATACGGACCGTGACATGATTGGTGCTCCATGTACTGTTTTTTGGACTGCAAATGCTTGTCTCGTTCTAAGCAAAAGAATTTGACAAAAAAAGAAAACTAAAGTTACCATGCATTAACCAGAATGACATGTTGTACAATTGATGTATCTATCTTTATTTAAAAATTATTTGACCAGGAGCCCCTCTTGAGATGAGCTCATCTCGTTTTCAAGAGTGTCCTGGCCGACCAGTAGGCAGCAGGTAAATTCCTCATGACGATCCAGATTTTCCCCCCCTCACATCTGAAACGATCCACAGGCTTAAGGCAGCCAGCATGCGTTCAGTGCACCCAGTGGACCTCAAAACGAAGGTTAAATCAAACAAATAAAAGGCCACTGTAAGTAAAAACAAGGTTGCATGCTATTGTTAAAGTCAAGGCAAGTAATTTTTATGTCATGTTTGGGCATTTATCCTATGTAACTGTCTTTATAATAATCAATGCATGCATACTATTTGATCAGTTCTAGAAATTCCAAAAGATGTGCTTCACTTAAGGTTTTTACTGCTTGTTGTGATGATGTTGCTAAACACACACAAAATGCTTCATTCTGTTTTAATTCTTATTTGTCTGTATCTTTAATAATGGTGGGGAAGATACTTTAAAATGAGCTTGGTAAGCCTATTTATAGTACAGTAGTCAACATTTGAAGTGGATCCAAACGAAGGCTGCACGATAAATCGAAATGGAATCGAGATCGCGATTCGACAGAAGCTGCGATTGTCATGCGTATCTTTCAGTGAAGCACGGTTCTGTGATCAGCAGTAAATCTCCATCCAAAGGCCAGAGGGTGCTCTCGCGCTGAAACTCCAAATACGCCTCGCAGAAGAAACCCAGAAAATGCCTATCGCTGCAGCTGAATAAACAGAAGATTCAACTGCTTTCATTGATTCAACGTGACCAATAAACACACGACTACTGCAATATACGGTTTATCGGAGTTCTTCTTCTTATAATTTTCATTCAGATAAAGTATATTTATAATGCAATGCCTTTATCAAACGCCAGTCACAATGCGAGACGACCGGTGTAAACAAAGCCAAGACGTGCATTTGTCCTTTCATGTGGAGAACGGGCTTGTACTAGATTGCCACTGCAAGTTGCCAGCACTTACAAAACAAAACTTTTGATTTGACATTAGTCCAACTAAAACAAGGGGTCTTGTCTCATACAAGGGAAAAATACGGACCGTGACATGATTGGTGCTCCATGTACTGTTTTTTGGACTGCAAATGCTTGTCTCGTTCTAAGCAAAAGAATTTGACAAAAAAAGAAAACTAAAGTTACCATGCATTAACCAGAATGACATGTTGTACAATTGATGTATCTATCTTTATTTAAAAATTATTTGACCAGGAGCCCCTCTTGAGATGAGCTCATCTCGTTTTCAAGAGTGTCCTGGCCGACCAGTAGGCAGCAGGTAAATTCCTCATGACGATCCAGATTTTCCCCCCCTCACATCTGAAACGATCCACAGGCTTAAGGCAGCCAGCATGCGTTCAGTGCACCCAGTGGACCTCAAAACAAGGTTAAATCAAACTAATAAAACGCCATTGTAAGTAAAAACAAGGTTGCATGCTATTGTTAAAGTCAAGGCAAGTAATTTTTATGTCATGTTTGGGCATTTATCCTATGTAACTGTCTTTATAATAATCAATGCATGCATACTATTTGATCAGTTCTAGAAATTCCAAAAGATGTGCTTCACTTAAGGTTTTTACTGCTTGTTGTGATGATGTTGCTAAACACACACAAAATGCTTCATTCTGTTTTAATTCTTATTTGTCTGTATCTTTAATAATGGTGGGGAAGATACTTTAAAATGAGCTTGGTAAGCCTATTTATAGTACAGTAGTCAACATTTGAAGTGGATCCAAACGAAGGCTGCACGATAAATCGAAATGGAATCGAGATCGCGATTCGACAGAAGCTGCGATTGTCATGCGTATCTTTC